TGTAACGTAGAACCAAATCAACTTGACATAGATTTTAAATTTCGACTCGGGAATACATTGATCGGCATTTTAGAGAGTTTTTCGTGCGGACTCGTCACTGAAAGCTCTGCGCGGCTTCGCCTGGATGCAGCTTGGCAGTGTCGTCGTCGCGGCGACGGTAACTCCTAAAAATAACAGGCAACATTCAATTACCGCCAATTTCCAGCGAGAGCCGAGCTACGTCAGGGGGGCTCGTTGACGCGCGTAACACAGGCGTGGGCGACCATACGGTCGCCGGTGCGGAGAGCGTTTCGTGGCTATATTACATATTGTTATCATTGTATATTACATTATATTGTGTACATTTTATTATATATTATATTATACTGTATTGTTTGCATTATGTTACAATAAGGATAAAAATAAAATTAGTTATATCTTAGCACGGTTATTTTTTATTTGTACCTCTTCCGAACAAAATTTCTAAAAGTATTTTAATTTCCTACCGAAAATTTATATCACATCCTTGCTCATTATATTCCCCTGATACACATTCACCAAATCGAGGAATATTTCTTTCAAAATTTCCTGACTTCCATATTTTAGTATCAAGGGAATATAATGAACAAAGAGGTAGCACGAATTTCCGGTGGAGAATTTGAAAAATTGCTCGATTATACGATTTTCGCATTTTGGCATCAGGAGAATATAATGAAGAGGTGATACGAATTTCCGGTGGGAGATGTGAAAAATCGCGAATTTTTAAATCTCATTTTGATGAAGAGCACAACCACGGCTCTTCCCCAACGCTGCGTTCCTCCCGCTGGAAGCTCGCAGCGTTCTGATTGGCCTCCGCCTCCGCTTTTAGATCCCGCCGCCGCTTCCTGCGTTCCTCTCCGGCGCGTATGTGTTCATAAACTGACCTTGCCGGAGGAAGTGTAATTATTATTACTGATTGCACCGGCGCGCGGCACCACGGCGCATCGCGATGGCGCGACCTTTCCACCAGAATTCCACGTTTTCCGCGCCGCCGAGATCGCATCTGCGCGCCCGTCGTTTTGTTTCTCGCCCCCTTTGTATATATCTCTGTCTTTCTCTCTTTCTCTCTCCACTTTTGTCGCGTTATCTCGCAACGATTAGCGTCGCCGCGAGCGTTTTTCCGGCAACGTTCGCACATTTATTCCCCTTTTTCACGCCGCCGGAAGCAATTGTTGATTCGCCGTCAACCGACATGACCACGCCAATGTAATTACTCTGTATACGCGAAAAAAAAAAAGAGAGGGAAAGCTCGCTATTCGCGTCGATGTATATCGAGTGTAGTTTTCGAGCGCGCGAAGAAGGCCTCGAATAAGATTTTCCCTCCTTCCCGTACTCCCGTGACGAGCTGCCTGCCGTTTCCGCCTGTCTTTCTTAATTAATATAACATTCACGAATTAATAATATATAATTTCTCTCCGTCGCGATGTCGTCTGCGAATCCATCGTCTTGTCGCGAGGAACCTTCGGAACGTTTCGCGCCGTTTTCTTCGGTTCCCACAGCTCCTCTCGCAGGATTCGTCGCGAAGAAGGAGTCATCGTTTGAGGGAGACATTAGACACGGTCATTAGCTCGGGGTGGCCGGCGATCGAAAATCGAATTGCTCGTCCGGGCGGCCGGCGATCGGTCGGATACGCACGTGCGGCCGTCGTTCGTCCGGCTTCCACGCTTATCCTGCGGTCGTCCTAATGGATCCTGGCCGCGCTATTCTGCCCCGGAGGGTCGCGTGGCGGCGGCGCCAGTGCGACGGTATTTACGAGTGACGGTACTCTCGCACATCTCCCGCACACGCGTCGTTGCTCCGCGATAGTAGATAAATCCGCCCGTTCGAAGCTTCGATCGGAAGGTATCCGCTTTTTGCAATCGACCGCAAATTTCACCGTTGTTGGCAGGATTTTATTATAATTACCGTTCGCTTCGAGAATATATTAATTCCGCGGTATTCATTCGACGACTCGAACGGCCGGACGAGAAATACGTGCGTTATCGATTACGATTTACAGCCTCGGCTGTAACGTAATATCGCGCGAGCCACGAGCAATATTTGCCTTACACGTCTCTCGTATGTTGCACACGCTGTATACCACTTGCGTATTTATATCCTCAGATATAAGCTTTACGCGCGTTCCTCGCTGCCTCATTCATCGCGCCGCGTCGCACCGTAACTCTCGCGCTGCGCGCGGAATAATTCGCGCAGCGGTATAAGTAATGTTTACCCGTCGCAAAAGTGGGCCGAATTTCGTTGGAAATAAACGCACGCGCCTGCCTTCCCTCGGATCCGATCGATCGGGCGACTTAAAGCGCAAACGGATTAACGGAGCGCGTCCGACCCGCGCGGGGAAACGGCTCAGCTCGACGCGGCACTACGTCGTACTACGTACGTGACAGGATGTGTGAGCGACACTTCCTTTTAAACCCTATAATACACCGTCGATCTGTTGCAGCCCCATACACCTGCTCGTCTCCTGCTTAATATGCGCGCCGTAATTAGAACATACGAGACCACCGTCGCACTAAATAATAAACCGGCCGCATTAAAGTCGTCGCTACTCGAGTCGCGCCAGCGCGAAACAAAGCGGCGACATACGGTCCGATCTCCCGGCGATCGAGATTCATAGATCCGCGATATCGTAATCCGCGGCGGCGAATCTGCGCCCGAATGCACAGAGAAAGAAGTTTCTTTAGATTTAGTAAACACCGTTTGACTTGGGTTTGTTTAATGTAAACGACGTAATTTAATACCAAATATCACTTGATTTTCATGAAAATGTTATTTCGCTAGAATAAACCGTTGTTGTTTGATAGCAAGAACAGTGTTCTTTTGAGGTAATTCTCTCGGTAACTTCCGAAATAATTATCTTCTCCGGAAGTTTGCCAAAGAGACTCGACGTTGTAATTGTGCGTACTTCGCCGGTAAATTGAGTAACTTGGCAAATCATTGTTTGCTCTTTGAGCCCGCGGAAATGAGCAACGCTGAGTTTCGCGGGCTTGCCGGGTCGAAATGAAAGCGAATGCTTAGCCGTCGAAGCGTGACGAAAAACGCCTAATATCGATCATCATCGAATCTGCATAAAAGTGTCCGTTGAAATTATAATCTTTGACAGCGATCGCCTTAATTATCGTCGTGGCCGAGAAACATAAATTTGCGTTATAGCAAAAACTGTCTTCCCTCCCCCCCTCTCCCTTCCCTGCCCTTCTCCACCCCTCTGCCCTTCGTCCGTCGCCGTCGCCCTTTCGGTTGCCCTTCGCCGACGTCATCGTCGCTTTAATCTTCCGTAAAAATCTGCAAATAATAACCGACGTTACAGCCTGTAATATGATAAATCTGATAACAGCTCGGTTTGTTACGGCCGACTTTAACGACTTTTAAATCGCGATTTCGCATAGATCCCAGGCGCGCTCGTCGGCATACGTGCATACGCGCGGCGCGCTCCTCGTATACGAGGAACGGTGAATTTCGATGAAACGAACCGTATTTATGTCGTCTCCCGAACGACGGCCGATTACGAACCGGACAAAGCACCGGAAATATGTCTTTGCTCTTATCAAGACGTTTTCCGCGCGGCATTAATTCCGCGCCGCTGTCCTTTCCTGCCGCTCCCGTAATCTCCGATCGGGATCTGCAATCGCTTATGCAAACCGCCGATGAATATCCTTCGCGCGACGTCTCCTCCCGTAAATCGACCGTTCCTTTCGCCACACGTTTGCACTGCTGTCTCCCCTTCTGTGAAAGGGTGTTTTCACAAATCCCCTTTGTCCCGTCCGGAAAAGTCAGGACCTCAACGTAATCATCCTTCTCAAAATCATTCTATCTCGTGCCTTTTCATTGCTCTCTTTTACCACGAAAAAAAAATATTCCTTTTTTTCTCGAAATTAATTTAACGCGACTTATAATAAACTTAATATGATTTACGTCACTTTCTATTCCACTCGGTGATTTACGTGTCGACAGTCTGGAGACGCCAGGCAAACTTTCATTCCTTGTTAGCTCTCAATATTGTGATCGAGAAAGAGAGAGAGAGAGAGAGAGATAGCACCGTCTAGCTCGACAAGGGTGGGCATCGTAAATCGCGTCGTAAGTTCTCGTGGTTGGCGACAAGAAACTCCCTACCGCACGGTTTATGTGCGCGAAATAAAGAAATCGTAAAGCTGATTGTGATTGCGGCCGGTTGCGCGCGCGAGAGAGAGAAAGAGCGCGCGGGGTCCTCGTTTTCGCATTCGTGCGCGATGTGAAACAACGACGACAACGACAACAACGACGGGCCGATGGTTGGCCGCTTAGCCCTCTAATCATTCCCATGATTTGCGGCCGACGTGATAAAAAAAGGGGCAATAGCGAGGCACAAAGAAGGAGGGCAGGGGTGCCTTATTAAGATTCGCGGACTAGTACGGCACACGAGGCGGCTTGATTGAAATTTAATTGCACCGTCGAAATTATCCTCTTTTCTTTCCTCAGAGCGCGAGCTCTCGACGACGTTTCCTCGACGGTTTTTGCTCGGCGTCGCACATTATCGAGTTGATGTGGCTTTTTTCCGCACAGTAGTGATTCCATTCTATTTTTTCACATTCTCGCCATTCCGAATCTTGGAGAACATTAGAAGCGAGCGCGATTAGTGTGGAAAGAGAGAGAGAGAGAGAGAGAGAGAGAGAGAGAGAGACGACGGTCCCCGTATAATCACTCGAAACATATACGTGTCGCTCGTGCCGGAATAAATGTAGAGATAGCTGGTGTACAAAACAAAAGTTCTTTGTATGACAAAAAATTGCGTTACAAAACGTAAATGGCGGAACGCATAAATCGATTTCGACGAGCGCATGCGGTCAAATTGCATTATAACGCAGTTTAGCGGCGAATGAGCGGGTAGACAATATTCTTAATGCCGTCAAAATAGACATTTAATGAGCAACTTGACAAACGAGCGATTTTTATTAAGTCCCGCCGATCAACGAGCTCGTATTCTCATAATTTACGCGATTCTGTTGCAGTGGTGATGCACAAGGATAAGGAAGAGAATTCACACCACGATTCGCACTACAGGGCGAGAGAGTTGGCGGCGCTCGCCGCTTATGACCATCATCACCTCGACGGCGAAATGTTCCTACAGGTGAGTGCTCATCGAGGACGCTCATTACGTAGAACAGCTCGTATTTACGAGCTCATTTGAAGCATGCGCCAAATTTTTTAAATGCATATCGAGTCGCTCACTTGCTCACGCGCGAGAGAGCGAGCGGACGCGCGACGTATTTATCGCGCCGGCGAGAGACACACCTGCTTCCTCAGCGCCTCTCGATCGATCGTCTCGTTTCGCCGACCGTGGCGGAGAAATCTATCTTCGCGAACGAGATCTCGTCGCCGATCCATATGTTCGGGGGGGGAGGGGGAAAAAACAGGCGACAGCGACGAGCAGTCGCGCGAAATATTTAAACGATTTAGCGACGCTTCGGTACTTAATAACGGAAGTGTGAGTCGCGGGTTACTGCTTGAAAGTGTGTCTTCTGGTATATCTAGTATAGAGCGAGTACACCCGTCTATATTTTCATTCCTCATAATAAGCCGTATCCCCGGTGGTTGCGAGCGTCAGCCTGTGTGTGATTGAAATATGTGTGTGGTGCGCGACGGAGGTAAGTTTGCTATTTACAACGCGGCTTTACGATAATGCCAAAGTTTAGGCGAATTATCGGTTTGACGAGTACGGCTCTGGTTAACACCGATCGAATTCTCGTGGCGGCTGCGATCGCCTGACGGCCGAAAGTTAAGACCGACTTGGAGGCCGTCTAACATTTAACAATCTCTCGGCCGGGCTCCCGCCGGATTAATTTTATTCGCCATCTCGCCCTGCCTTTATCAAGAGCTCTCCGGAATATTTCTCCTTCTCTCCGGAGTTCATTTGTTATTAAGTTTCTATTATATGTCGCGCATATTAAACCCTTTTCCCCCTTTAGAAACGATACCGATCTCTTAAACGGCATTTATGCGGCGGTCCATTATAACGATCCGCGCATAAACAGCGAAAAAAAGGATACCGGCCGGCGAGTTATCGATTCAAATTGTCGGGGATCAATCAACAACGGCGATGCGATAAGCCGCGCGCCGATTACAAACGATATCGACTCCATTTCGAGCAAGCGATATTATCTGCGCGATACATTCACCTGCCATAAGCACCATCTACGATTCACGATTGATCGACGCTCGGCGGCGGTGTGAGCGCACGAACAGATGGAGAGATGAATGAGCAGGCAGAAGAGAAACGGGCGTGCTACCGAATGACGACCCGTGATTGGAACTGTCTGTCAGGAAAACTATACGATTGAACGTCACGTTTGAAGGGAGGAAACGGCTCGCCGGGATGGTTTCGTATATTATTTCGATGAAATATAGTGTACAGCGGGGCTGGATGGCATGACGCGGAAATAGAAACGTTTCGGCCCCGATTCGGTGTCACGAAGTGTGTATGCAGAAGTCTACATCAAAGCGGAATAGATCTTTGCGGGACTCACGGGGAGTACGAGTGAATTTCGAGAGTCGCGTTTTTCGAAAAAAAATTACGCAACGGCGGTGAGTCTTTATACGTAACGACCGTTTACGTATATCCGATATCGAACTGTCGTCAGATTTGGAAATATTTCAGACGCGAAGACGGATACATCTCGAGAGAACTATCTCATCTTTACGTCCGCCTCACGGAATTTTCGTGAAAGATCCGAGAGCGTGTGACCTTAATTTTTCCAACGTCGTAATCACATTCGCGCGGCCTTTTCCGAGCAAAGCGTGCATCCGTTCTTGCGCGAGTCGTTTCGTGGCAAAGAGTGCCTGCCGAAATTAAATCATCGGCAGCGAGAGGAAGAGACAGGAAGAGAAGCGAGGACGAGAGGGAGGGCGGGGGAGGAAAGAAGGGGAGAGAGAAAGAGAGGGAGAGGAGGAACGGGGAGATATCCGGCTGATGAACCGGCTATGAAACCGAGGCGTACGAGGTGTCTATTCCTCCAAAGTATGGAAGGGTATATACACGGATTAATGGCGGTGTATCATGCAAGGCTATTACGTTCCCTTTCCTGCGTTTTAGGTGCGCACATGAGGGAAAGAGGGAGGGCAAGAGTCCGAGACTACGGGAGGGAAAGAGAGAAAGCGAGGACAAACAGCGCGCGCGCGTGTGTGTAACAGAGAAAGGAGGGGGGTGGGGAGGGGAGGGGAGCCAGAGAGATAAAGAAAGAGACAGAGAGAAGTAGAGGAAGAAGGAAGGATGGAGTGAGGGAGGGAGGGAGGGAAGAGTGCAGAACGATATACTTGCACGTATGAATGGTACGCGTGATTTCATGCGAGAGTCAACGCGCGCGCGCGCGCGCTCTACGCACGATCCAACGATCCAGCAGCATCTATAACGGTGGGTTATTAATCGTCAGCTCGTTAATTGCGTTACGTTAGGCCCGCTCTTCTACGCCCGCGGCTAATTCCCGAACGGGATCCCGCCGACGACGGCGAGAACGACACGCGCTACACGCGGGGCCGCCGGCGCTCGAGTCGCGCTGGAGCGCACAGACACGAATGGACAGCCGGGTCGAAGTTTTAGCCCTACATTAAGTCTATTTAGTTCTACGTTTCCAGACGGAGTTATTTGCAGGAACGGCGATGAGTTGGGCTCGAACGTTCCTTGAACGGGGTTCACCAGATTCCCGGATACTTGAGCTCACCTCGCTCACGCCACTCCCCGCGCGACTGATACATCGATAACATATTTATGCAATTCGCACGGTTCCCTGAACCCGTCTTTCCAAGACCTTCCTCCTCCCCCCGACCGTTCTTCCTCCTACGCTTCCCACCCTCCGACCCCCCTCGGCTTCCCTCCGCCGCACAACGCAGTCTCCCTTTTTCCGCGCGCGCAGTATACCGTTCCGCCGATCCTCATAAACTTTACGAACCCCGACGGTAAATCCGGTTTATGACAAGCCGGCCGCCACCACGAGGCATCCTCGAAATTACGGCTGAGCGCGATCGGATTTTTATACCCCTCCCCAATTATACCGCCGCGAGTTTCAGCGTCGCGAACGGGCCGCCGGGCGGCGGGACGGTGGTGCTGGATATGCTCGATTGAGAGAACGACTCGTTTAGACACGAGACGATACGACGTCTCGTCTCCGTTCCCCCCCCATCCCGTCGTTATGTGGGGGAATTCGCGTCTATCGAGTTACACGGCATCAAATCAGCGGAGAACCGCCGCGCGTAGATCACACCGCCGCGTTCACGCTGCGTCCTCCTCCACCCGCCGATCCATCCTCCTTCGTAGTCACCGGGGAGCGCGACCTCGCCGGTTTCTAGCAGTGTATGAGCTGGAGATCTCTTCAGGTATCTGCTAAATCTGTCTAGTAGATCCGGTCGGTCCGGTACATCTAGCAGGCTTATACTGTATACGTAATTTGCAGGTCGGAAAAATTATTTTCTAAACCTTAACCCTAGCTCAGAAAATAAATTTCTTTACCGGATGTCGGATGTGTTTTGTGAAGTTAAACGAGATCAAAATGCCGCAATCTTGTTATCGACTGTGTAGGCAATTTCATGTTTCACGACGGTTACGTGAATATTATTCTTAATACCGCTGATTTACCGCTGAGAGTTCGCTGTTTTAATTCCGATGGAATTGTTATCTGCCAATTATAAACTTTTATATCGGAAACAGCTTCCTCTCTTTGTTCCCTCCGCGGATAAGAATTTGTTGAAAACATTCGGCACGAGCGTAACGAAGTAAATAAGTGTTAAAGAAATATACGGATATTTTTCTAGATTTTTAATTGCTCCTCATGCCTGAAGTATCACTTCGTATCTCGGTGCATAACGAGTTGAAGTAACTGAAAAAAATATCGTCTTACTTAGCATAAAATTATCTAATATTAAATTCAGCGAGTATTCCTTATTAAATACACACTCCGGCGATGTCGTCCGAGGGAGGCTGCATGAGGTACGCTCGCGGCCGGGGAAATTTAATTTGTTTATCTTAATGCGCTCCGGCGAGAACGTACGACGAATATGCTTATTAAATATCTTCACGCTCGGGAGCTGCTGTTGGTTTAAGATAGCGCGTCCACCTCGTGGGGATATCTAATTTGTTAATTTGAATTTACCGCTACCGGGACGCTTCGTTATGGCGTCGGGCGTGAGGCAAGGCGCTTCGCGACGAGCGAACATAATGGGATCCCTTCCGAGAAGAAGAAGAAGAAGCGAACACTCGTCGAGTTATTCCGCAATTAACAATCGTCGTCAGTCTTAAATATAAACCCGATATCTTCTTTCATCATTGTGTACGCCGAGCGGAAATACCGCCTTAATATTTATCGTATCGTTAACGAACGCTAAATGAAACCGATCGTAAGACCTCGCGGTCGATATAATTTTCTTCCCTCTCCTTAATTTTTCTCAATACGCGCTCGGTGATTGCAAGATTATTCTCTTCCCAGGAATTTTGTTTTAACGACGAGACGTATTAAATGTACCAACCGCAAGACGTGCAGTCGTCGTCGTTGTCGCAAATGCAGCTTTTACCGCGACAAGTACGGCGAGAGCACGCAAGACGAACTCGTCGTACTAAATACTGAATATATTTGAAGGAACACACAAAACTCCGAGATCAAATACACGGACTTTTCCCTTTCGCCGCGTTAAAGTATCGTTTTTCGTGGGTAGCGTGCAAGGAGGTACCTTCCTACTTAATACTTACTATTCTCTAAACGGTATGCGGATACATTACTTCTACGAAAGTTTCCTCGCGTAAAACGTTTACTGCCCTTTTTCGTCACTTCTGCCGTGGCGCGCCAAGGGTGGGAAGGGGGAGGGAAAGAAATCGTTTCTCCTGAATCTCCGACGTAAAAGGTTCAAGCGGGCCGAAAACGTTCTTCGATCAACCCAACACGAAACCGTCGCCGGTAATTCGCCACACTAAACACCGCCGTTTTCGCGAATTCGCTCGCGCGACCCGGAAAAAGGGCCGAGCTTCCTGAAAATTCTCAATAACGAATGGACAATCTTATATCTCCACGCGGATTCTCATACGTGTGCTTTTAACGGCTCTACCGATTAGAAGCACGAATGAAAGCACGCGTGTCATTAATAATT